AAAATTTGATATATAAAATTTTATTGAATTTTCTAAGATAATAATTAAACTTATAACTACTTTTAGTATACTGATTCGTCAATATTAGTATTTCGATCTTATTCTTTAGAAGCTATTCAAATTCAATTCAGATCTTCTAAAATGCATCTGAGTTATAATTCGAATTTGAATAAATTCAAATTCTATTAATAAATTCAGATTAGATATATATGTATAATTGAGATTTATCTCACTCAAGAATATATTTTACAAATCATATAACTTCATACGATCTTATTCCAATGCAATTTGCATGGTAAGACATATTTCTATTATATATGCATACATATATGTATCACATAGAGATGCTATTAATTCAATTAATCAAATTTTAAATATAATATTTTTAGTATTACAAAATCTAAATTCTGTTTATTTGATATTTATCACTATGAATAAACCTTGATCGCACTAAAAAGCATGAAAGTAAACTCTTACAATGACAAAAAAAACCATTCCAAATATCAAACTTTATTTGATTTATGTGCTTAAAATATTCTTTACAAAAATATCAACAATATACTATATATATATATATTTTTTTATAGATTATTAAATTTTGAACAAGCTTTCAATCGTTCTTATTGTGATCTATATTCTCACTCTATTCTGGCACAAAAATATCTATTTTATCTAAATTTCTTTTTAGAAATAATATTTGATCTACTAAACTTGGATCCAAATTTATTCTCTTAGTATTAATAAGATTGCTGACATCTGAAAATAATCTTTTACTTGATATTAATGTTGCTAGAATTACAAGATACTTTCAGGTGATTTTAGTAAGTTTTGGAAAATTTTGTGAGTATATTTTTCACTATTTTAAAGAATCTTCTGTTTTTAATGCTAATAGCAATAACAAATAATTTGAAATTTCATCGAGGATTTGTGGATTCGGTACTAATTTATCTTTTTTTTTTTCATTTGATGTTGTTAAAGATATAATTTATATGAGCATGTTGAAGATTTTGTGTTAGATAGTATTAGATTAATTGAAAGTTTAGATACTGATTCTTCTATTTCACTAAATTTATTATGAAGTTTTTGAATAATAAATTGTTTTTCAGAATCATTACTGAGAAAGTCTAAACTTTTGTAATGAGGGTTTAGCAAGGTTGTTATTAAACCAAGATCATTTGGATCATTCCAATAGTATATTAGTGTATTATATATATTTTGTTTAATTTTATCCAAAATATCTGTTGTGTCTACTAGGTTTTTAATTGAGATACTTTGCTTAGTAATATTACTAATAATTTCATCATAATCGAAATCTATAGATTGTATTTCTTCATCCAATTCAAACACAGTATCTTTATCTGAGAAAAAGTCATTATTCAATAGTTCTTCACTTGCTAAATCATAAATCATTTCTTTAATAGTTGAAAAAACTTTACTTAATATTACATATGTACTTCCAGAGAACTCTCATATTGTCTTCTCAAATAGCATCAGCAAGTCAATAAGTTGGTCTAGCAGCTCTCATTCGTTATCTGAAAGAAAAATCTTTTTTAATTTAATATCATCTTTTTTAACCTTCTGATCGACTGACATATATAAATCAGTTTGAAGTTAAATAATAGCATTCTTTAAAAAAAAAGACGATCTCAAGAATAGTATAATGTATTCTATCTTGTAGATACATCTTGAATATAACATATAACATCTGTATAATCTAGCTTTATTTATACTTCCTCTAGCCTAGTATTGTAATAGAATTTCTTTTTCTTTGTTTTTTCTATTAGTTATTATCTTTTATTATTATTTTAGTATATATTATATTTTTAGTATCTTTTTCTATATATTTATTATATTTTTATTATAGTTATTTTTAGTTAGCTATAGGACAATACATTGAAGGAGGCTTCTAAACATAAAATAACTATAATAGGATTTGTAGATCAACATGAGAGCTACACAATTATATGTGTTTTATTTTTAATTAATATATAACTTATTGAATAATAGAGTACTGAGTATTGATAAATATAATTTTACTCAGTATTGCTCGGCATTGTTTATTGATATTTTAGGAGATTCTACTTAGATTTTCTATATTGCCAAGGCTTTTTAAATGTTTTGGAATGTCTAAAAATATACTACAACATATGGTAGCCTTAAAACCAATTGAATATTAGTTTAAAAAGCTATAAAAAGGGTAGCTTTTTGCCTTTCTAAAAAGCAAAGTTGTCTCTATCTAAAATTCCTTTAATAAATTATATTTTATTTATTATTTTCTTGACAGTATTAATAAAAACTATTATTTATCTTTCTATTTTATTGATTCTATCTCTTATTTTATTATTTCTTATTTTTTTCTTGATAATAATATAAAGTGAAGGCTGATTTTGTTAATAGTATTTTGGCAAATACTAGCTTTATATTATTAGGTTTTAAAAGTTACATATAGCTGTTGATGGTCTGATTATTAGTGCTTTCTTTCCTCTGGTTATATCTCAAGATATTTCTAAGTTCTAAAGTCTAATAATCCTTGTAAAGGGGAAGCATTTGCTATATCTGACCTATACAAACTGGCCAATAGATTTAACCCTAAATATAATTGTCTATTGCTAATCGCTTTATAGTATCTAGAAGACTATTGAATTTAAATCCTGTTTTATATTTTTCTTTTCTATTCTTTCTTTTTATTTTTTTTAAATAAAAGATTGTCCACTTGGTACTCATGTCTTTTAAAATTTGCTACAGCTTGCTAGTTTTTAGTAAATTTTATTACAATATTACAAATTAGAAGTTGAAAATTTTGAAAAAAATCGATTAGTTGATTAGTTGAAACTAATCAATTGAACTTTTTTGGATATTAACTAATCGATTAGCTACAATGAATAGATTAAAAAATTAGTTATTGTAGATTGCAAAATTTAGTAAATTTTTGCAGATCAAGAAATCGTCTAAAAATTACACAATTTTTTTTCTTAATCTGCAAAATTTACAAAATTTTGCAAACTACAATAATTATATTAATTAGTTATTAACTAAAAAAATAATTAACCAACTAATCGACTACTATTCTAACCTTTTTATCTGTTTTGAAGATTAAAAAAAATTGATCAATCTTCTTGTACGTGCTACTAAAATTTTAACTAGTACAAGTCTCTTTCCAATTGCCAATTGAAGAGTATAAGCCGTGCATAGAAGGCGTTTTATATAATACAGTACCCAAGATTTCAAGCTTCAATATACTTATAAATTTTATTAGCAATAATCCTACTGGAGTGTGGTGAAGAATCATATTTATTTTCTAATATAACATCTTTAATTTTGAAATTTGATATAATTCAGGTTGCAATAATTCTGAGATATTACTAAAAATCCATCATAAGAGAAATATTTTTTGCTATTTAGATAAGAAGATTTTTTAAAATTTTTTGATTATATTTGTAACTTTTAACAATCATAATTTTAATTTTTTTTTCTTCTGGCATAATAAAGGAGGGATTAAACTTAGCTATTTTTTCCTTATATGTATTGTTTATAACTATAGAAAAAGACTAGTTTGTAAGTAATATCTATTTAAAAATTGCTTCTTCATACTTTTTTTGAATATGATTAGAATAAAAGCAGGGCTTTTGTATAAAGTCTATAATTTTGATATTTTGTAGCTAAAAAAAAAGAAAATTAAAAAAATAAAATAAGATAAAAAATAAAAAGAAAAAAAAAATAGAAAAAATAAAATAAAAAAATAAATAAAAATAAATAAAATAAAAAAAGAAAAAGAAAAGAAGTATACTTTTTTAACAACTTCTCTAGCTATTTCTAAGATGCGTAATGAGATTTCCTGTTGAATATATTATATTTACAAGCAAGTTGATCTATCTATAATTATTATTTTACAAGTTAATCTATCTATTCGTGTTCAACATATTCATAACGTGATTCTTTAACTAACTAGTAAAAAACAAGAAATTTATCAAATTAGGAAATTAGACAAGATGCATACTTGAACTTGGTGTAAATATTTATTCATCTTTATCAAAATTATACTAATAAATAACATCAAATTTTTTAGATACCAATTCCTACTGATTAAAGCTAATTTTTAGTTAATCAACTTTTTTTAAAGAAAAAAAAAATCAGTATAATAGTTAAATTTTTTTTTTTAATATTGCTTACTAAACACGTTAGAGATATTAATAGTCTACTCTGAACTACTTTTTTTGAGTCACACCAGAATTTCATACTTTTAAGTTTACTATCTATTATTTACTAGATTCAATTCTGATTAGCAATATATACATTATTAAGTTTTTGTTTTTAGTCAGAGCTAAGTTTAGTAAATCACAATAATAAAGCCTGAAGGCATTATTCATATTAGTGTCTGGATACTAATTAATATTAAAAAAAGGCCAGTAGATCTAGCAATTAACAACTTATAATTATAATACTAATGTCTCAAAAATCATTCTTCTATATATAGTCAACTGAAGTGCATAAGTATGAATTGGAAAAGATCAGTTAAATAAAAAATATCAGAGGTGTAAATATTTAATAGTCAAATAAGATTATGTTTTTTGTTAAAAATAAGGTTTGGTTCCTAGTTTAAAAAGGTAAAAAAATCCTAATATCTGGTTTTTTTTTTAACATAATTTCAAATATTGAACAATATAGAATTTTACTATACTATTTCAATATTGTGTGCATCATTAAACTTTTTTAAATTAATTCATATGATAAGATTATGGTGAGAATTGATTTTTAGATTTAGTTAGAAAATTAGCTCTGAAGGCTTTTCATTAAATAAATAAATAATAAAAAAAGTGAAATCATTTATTACAATTGTGATCTTTTGATCAAAAGTTGATAAATATATATTTTGTTCTGGTTTTTTTTTTTGTTAATCTATAATATACAATTGTTATAAGTATATAAATTCAACATTCGACCCTTAATATTAACAATTATTTAAATCCAAATTTAGATTTTTAAGCAGGTTATATAACTTGAAGCTAGTATAGAATTTCAAATTTTCACGTAATATTCATATATATGTAAAGAGATTATGTAAATATTTGAGTAATTATAGTTTATGTAATTAGTATTATTTATAGCAAACAAACAAAATAAATCTTGCATTTGCAAGAAAATAATAATCTACTATTAATATGTTTAGAATTATATAATCTGAATAATCCTTATCTTTAATCTGAAATGAATTAGAATCTATCTGGTTTAAATTAACAAATACAGATATCTGCATTTAATCTGAATTGTCAGATCTATCTGAATTAGTCAGATTGCAAATTGAAATACTATTGCTATCTACAACTGTCCTATAATAACACTACTATATTGTATACAGACTTTATTGCTACAAATTTTAATATTTAATAACAACAATAATAACAACAATAACAATAACAACAACAATAATAACAACAATAACAACAATAACATAAACAACAACAACAACAACTAATCAGCTTTTCTACAAAATCTAAAACTCCTAAAATTAATAAACAATAACAGCATTATTCTAATAAATCTACTATGAAATTTAAAATTCTTAACATTCATAAAAGCCTTTTTTTAATTTAAAACTTACTTTATATCTTAATACTTCAACTATATGTCTTTATATATTTTATTATTTTCTATATATTTTATAACTTTATACACT